AGGCAATCCACTCACCTCAGCCTCCCAAAGGCGCGGGATTACAGGCTAAGCCACCGAGCCGGCTAAATTGAAATATTTTTTAGTGCCCTCAGTCACAGGCTGTCCAAGATTGGGATAGGGTGGAGGAGCTGGAGATAGAACAAAGTTACTAGGCCTCTTCATATGTGTTTTTTTTGAAGAGGTGGGCCAGTGACTTTGCACATTTTAGAGAATTTATTTGTTTATTTATTTATTTATTTTTGAGTCAGAGTCTCACTCTGTCACCCAGGCTGGACTGCAGTAGCACGGTCACCGCCACCGCGGCCTCCACCTGCTGGGTTCAAGCGATCCTTCCACTTCAGCTTTCCAAGTAGCTGTGACTACAGGCGCACACCACCATGCCCGGATAATTTTTGGACTTATTGTAGAGACGAGGTCTCATCATATTGCCCAAGCTGGTCTCGAACCCGTGGGCTCAGGCAATCCCCTCACCTCCACCTCCCAAAGTGCTGGGATTACAAGCGTGAGCCACCGCGCCCGACATTTTAGAGCTTTTTTTGATTTTCTGTTTTTGTTTTTGAGTTAGAGTCTCACTCCACCTCCCAGGCTGGAGTGCAGTGGCACACTCACAGCCAGCCCAGCGTCCACCTGCTGGGCTCTGGCGATCCTTCCGCCTCAGCCTTCCAAGTAGCCGGGAACTACAGGTGTGCGCGACCACGCCCGGCTAATTTTCTTATTTTATTGTAGAGACGAGGTCTCGCTAGGTTGCCCAGGTGGTTCTCGAACCCATAGGCTCAGGCAATCCCCTCACCTCGGCCTCCCAAAGTTCTGGGATTACAGGTTTGAGCCACCGCGCCCGGCCTAGAGCTTTTAGAGACAAAAAAAAAAAAAAAGGTTACGGAGGACTCTGATTTGCAGCCCTCTGAATAACAAGCAGAAAGAATTTGAGAGTAAAATCAGGTTGATAAATTACTCAATAGCATATCACTGAGCCTCGTGCATAATGTTGAGTCCTGATGGGGTAAACTGAGGTAGGAGAAGAAGCCTCAAAGCAAAATCAGTGCAGGGCCGGCATCCGGTGCCCCACTGCCTCAGGGGTGGGAGTGGGGGTACGGGTGAGGGTACGGGTGGGGAGGCCCTGGGGCCCGTATCCCTCCCCGTCCCAAGCGTCCGCGGTCCGGCAGCACGGGCCAGGTCCCGGGGCTCCCGTAAAAGACCCAGGCCATGGGGAGGTGGGAGAGTTGCAGCCTCCTTCCCTGCAGCAGGGGGAATCCCGGGGGCGCTGGCAGTTCCCGGAGACCCTTCCCTGACAGCACTGGAACGGTCCGTGGCCCGGCTCGCTGCTGCGCGTCAGAGACCGTACACTGGGAAACCGCGGGGGGACCGAGGCGTCGCAAGGACCCGCGCGGGCCCACGTACCTGCCGCCGCCCGCGCTCGGCGGAGCGGGCTCTTTAACGTGGGGTGCGTGTCCCGCCGCGGGGCACTCTGGGAAGTGTAGTTTCTCCGCCCTTGCTGGGGTGGGGGTGGGGGGGTCCCTCCCCAGCAAAAGACTCACTGGAGCTACCGCATGGGCAGGCGGAAGCGATCAGAGCAGCGCCTTCCTAAAGGGCCGTGAATCTTCAAATCGAGAAGGGAGGTGGGGCGCGAGGGCGACTCCGTGGGCCAGCGAAACTACAATTCCCAGAGGCACCGAGGCTTCTTAAAGACACAGGCCCGTTTTCTGGGGCGGGGGTTCCTGGATTGGGTGCGTTGGGTTGTTTTTTGGGCTTCCCCCTACCCCTGGTCAGGGCCGCCGCTTTTCTCGGGAGAAAAATCTATTCGGGGGTGGGGTGGGGGGAATCACACTTTGCCGGGGCGGAAGCAACCGTCAGAGTGACAGAGGCAGTGCTTGCGCTGGTTTTGTCACGTGGGTCCGTCAGGGAGAAACTTTGCAGCACTGCAGTAGGAAGAGGATCTGCGGAGCTTTTGGAAAAGTTGTCCGTGGCTGCACTGATGGTCATAGCCGAACACTGGAAGCACCCGAGTGTCTCTCCCTCGGGTTCTGGAAAACTAAGCCAGACACATCATGCAATGGAATACTATGCCGCAGTTAGAGAGAACAAGGCGGATCTCTGTACAGTAAGGAACGATGTTGAAGACATCTTAAGGGAAAAGAAGCAAGTTGTAGAAAAACATGTACGGGAAGCCACTCGCGTCAAAAATCACATGTATGGACACACAGTCTGTGCGTGCACCGGAACAGGGCTGGAAGGACTTGCATGCTGGGGAGAAACTGCTGAGGGTGGTGATGGGCAAGGAGAACTTGAGCTTTATCAGTATTGAATCTTTCCTACAAGAATGTACTGTCCAAATGCACTGTGGTGAATAAGGAGCCTGAGGGGTCCTACAGTCAGTCTCAGTGGAGATGGGGGACGCTGCTCTAACTCTGTAAACATCTGTAAAATGGGTTACTACTAGTATCCAATGCCTGAGATTGTTGTAAGGATAAGTGCTTGACTCCATAGTAAATGCTCAAATAGATTAACCATTACTATGATTATATTTGTTGTTGTTATTCCCATCCTGCTATATTAGAGCAGGATTTTCGGTTTGTTCGCTGTTGCGTTCTCAATTCCGAGAACAGTAGGAGAACACTGTAGGTGGTTAAAAACAATTTGTTGAATGAATAAATGAAGAGTAGTCCCCTGCTCAGCTCCCACTGCGCCGCCTCCTCCCAGCAATCTCTCTCCTCCGCGTGGTCCTCTCCCACTGCAGTCATCTCCCTCTTCGCTTGACCCAGGTTTCAACCTCCAGCCCTGCTCCTTCTTCTGTGAACTCAGGAGGCCTCCAGGGAAATCATGAACTGCCTCCACTGCTGGCGTTCTCAGCAATGCAGATCCAGGGCCCTGCAGTGGAGTGGGAGGCAGGGATGCCTGCAAGTGCAGGTGTACCGGGGACTCAAGAAAGCAGAATGTGTCCCCAAGTTGCTCAGAGGCCAAGGGCTCCACCCCACCGCCTAGGGCAGCATGGTTGGGGGGGTCCGCCTAGGGCAGCATGGTGTAGGGGCTAATGGGGAGGTGAGGGGTGGCTTCAAGTATGCTCTAGCACCTCTACCTGAGGAACAAATAAACATGGAAGGCTTTTAGTAAAATGAAGCCCTCAGTGCAGTCTGTCAGCAACATACATGGGTAGCTTTCTGCCTGCTGCACATGGTCCCACGATCTGGGGTATCCAGAGCCATTAAAAAACACAAACAAAGCCGGGCTCGGTGGCTCAGCCTGTAATCCCACACCTTTGGGAGGCTGAGGTGAGTGGATTGCCTGAGCCCGCGGGTTCGAGACCCACCTGGGCAGCGAGACCTCATCTCTACAATAAATCAGATATCAGCCGGCGTGGTAGCGCATGCCTGTAATTCCAGCTACTCGGAAGGCTGAGGTGGAAGGATCGCCAGAGTCCAGTGGGTCGAGGCTACGGTGACCAGGAGCGGCCACTGCACTCCAGTCTGGGCAACGGAGTGAAACTCCAACTCAAAAAATAGATATAAATAACACACAAACAAACAAGAACAACAACAAAAAACGACTGAGCATGGTGGTTCCTGGCCTGTAATTCCAGGGTTTTGGGAGGCTGAGGCAGGATAACTTGAGGCCAGGAGTTCAAGACCAGTCTGGGCAACATAGTGTAACTCCATCTCTACAAAAAATTACAAAACATTAGCTAAGCGTGGTGGCACATCCCTGTAGTCCCAGGTGCTTTGGAGGTTGAGGCAGGAGGATCCCTTGAGCCCAGGAATTTGAGGTTGTAATAAGCTATGATCGTGCCGCTGTACTCTAGCCTGGGTGACAGAGCAAGACCCTGTCTCTAAAAATAATAAAATAAACCATTCTGAAGTTATAATTCAGGGTAAAGTCTAACAATTAAATCCAAGTGTTTGATATCAGACAAACCCTTCCAGCTCCCACCACTTTCTCACTTTGTGAGCAAGCCATTCAATTTCTTTGACCCTCAGCTTCTTCATCTGTCAGAAAACAATAGCATTTCCTTAATCAGATTATTGGAAGGATTCGATGAACTAATGTACATAAAGGGTTTAGCGTATAACCTGGTATTGAGCAGGCATCCAACCTCTTTATTGTTTTGTTCTTTTTAATTTTTAATTTTGAAGATGGGGGTACAATTCAGGTACATACAAATATTTATTATGTAGGTACCCTTGTTGATGAGATGTGCGGGCCCCCTCCCGCAGTTTCCCATTACTACCAATCCCCCCCACCCCGCCTCCCAGCAGTTTCCAACTCAACATCTTTATTGTTAAACAAACACCATGCTGCCAGAGTGTAAGGGTCTAAGTCAGGGAGGGCTTCTTGGAGGAGGTAAAATCTTCAGGTCCCTAATGAGATGTGTGGCTGCTACAAGCAGCAGGAGATCCCTCTGGGAGCCAGGACTACTCCTAGGGATATCTTAGGTTGGGTTCCCTAGATGCAGAGCCTGAGACAGGGATTCTTGTGCAACCGATTTATTGGAAGAGTGAGGGAAGAGGGGGAAAGAAGCCAAGCAAAGATGTGGGTTCACCTAAATCTAACCTCAGTCCGATCCTGTGGGGAACTCCGGAGCATAAAATCACAGGTTTTATCCCTCTCAGAGGCAGGGGAGCTGGATTTTGTAACCCACATCAGTCATTCATGGGCTATGGGCCACTGAGAGGTGGGGGAGGGAGGAGCCTAACTTCCCAGGCATCTCTGGGCAAAGCAGCTCACATCAGCTGAGGACAGTTCTCTGGAGAAGGGCAAAGTTGTGACCCATTAGCAGACAACAGTCACAACAGCTGGGAATGGCTGCACCATCCTTGTAGAGGGAGGCCCCCAGGATGGACACTGACAGCATTTACTGCAGGGAGATTGAGGAGATGGAAACTGGGTAAAGAAAATGGAGAGAGGGGATTAAACTCTCCTGGGTTTTCCAAGGAGAAAATGAAACACTAGTATAGCCTTTGCCTTTTTATTGTGGTAAGAACATTTAACATAGATCTAACTTTTTTTTTTAGTTAGAATCTCATTCTGTTGCACAAGTTGGAGTACAGTGGCATGCTCACGGTCACCGCAGCCTGGACTTGCTGGGCTTCGGCAATCCTTCCGTCTCAGCCTTCCAGGTGGCTGGAACTACAGGCACGCACTACGATGCCCACCTGGTTTTTTTATTTATTGTAGAGATGAGATCTCACCAAGTTGCCCAGGCTGGCCTCAAATCTCTGGACTCAGGCAATCCACTCTCCTCAGCCTCCCAAAGTGCTGGGATTACAGGCTGAGCCACCGAGCCCAGCCCAGATCTAACTTCTTAACAGCTTTTTAACTGTACAATACAGTATTGCTGACAATGTTGTACAGCCTGGTATTGTTTCAAGTAATCAAAACACAGTCTCAGCACGGATTACAGAGCTGGCAGTCATGTGCTTGGCTTCACGGCCACCCATGAAGGTTGCTCATCAGCCATACTTCCAGTTTCTTGACACTGTACCCCAGAAACTTCTGGAAGTCATTCGGCAGCATGTACTTTGTTTTCTTGCTGCTCCCATAACCAATGTTAGACATAAAGATCTTGCCCTGGAATCTTCTCCATACCCTGTTGTCAATATCTCTGGGTGTCTGCCAGTTACACTTAATTTTGACATATCAGTCTGACAAATGCCAGATGAATTTTTTGGTGCTCTCTTTTTTTTTTTTTTGAGTAGAAGTCTCACTCTGTTGCCCAGGCTGGAGTGCAGTGGCACTCTCATGACCACTGCAGTCTCAACCTGCTGTGCTCAGGCGATGCCTTCCCCCTCAGCCTTCCAAGTAGCTGGAACCACAAGTACGTGCCACCATGCCTGGCAATACTTTTGATTTATTGTAGAGAAGAGGGCTTGCCAAGTTGCCGAGGCTGGTCTCGAACCCCAGAGCTCAGGCAGTCTTCTCACCTCTGCCTCCCAAAGTGCTGAGGTTACAGGTATGAGCCACCACTCCCAGCTGATGAGCAACAACCTTAATTAAGATTCCTCACAATGTTTCCTTCAAGAATGCAAAAGACTTCGTGACCCGCCTGGGCAACTTGGCGAGACCTCATCTCTACAATAAATAAAAAAATCAGCCGGGCATGGTAGCGCGTACCTGTAGTTCCAGCTATTTGGAAGACTGAGGCAGAAGGATTGCCGGAGCCCAGCAGGTCGAGGCTGCGGTGGCCGGGAGCGGCAACTACACTCCAGTCTGGGCGACTGAGTGAGACTCCAACTCAAAAAAAAAAAAAAATAAAGACTGGCCCCCCAAAACTCACACACAAAAGATTAGCCAGGTGTGGTGGTGTATGCCTGTAGTCCCAGCTACTTGAGAGGTTGAGGAGGCTCGCCTGAGCCCAGGAAGTCAAGGCTACAGTGAGCAGTGATTGTGCCCCTGCACTTTGGCCTGGGTGACAGAGTAAGACGTCCAACTCAAAAAATATTTTTAAAATTTTTTTTTAAAAACCTATAAATAGGCCAGGCACAGTGGCTCAA